TCCATAATGTATGCCATCTTCTTTGACTTGGCCTCTTCCTGACTGATAACAGAAGAGAGACATTTAGAAAGTGTTTCATCACTTAATTGGGCTGCCATGAATTCTTCCCGAGTGGCAGGCAGTTGTACAAGCTCTGAGCTGTTACTGGGTGATCCAGCACCAGCAGACCGGGCCTCCTCTGGCAGTCGGTCCGACTCAGTCACGTCCTCAAGAAACTGCCCTGTAGCAAGAAAAGAATCAGACAAATCCTCTCCATATTTCTTTGACTGGGCCCTTGTAAACAACACAAGCAGGAAAGATTTCGGGAGATACTTCAGCTGATTTCTCAGCGTCTAAACTTAGATCCAGAGAATCAATGACCTCAGGTACTGGCTTAACTTTGCCCCCAGCCAAGTCATTACTGAGGATGAAATCAACACCTTTGATGGGTAAGGCAGGGAGGACAGCAACTTTAAAGAATCCTTTGACAAGAGATGAGTGAATATAAACATTGTGCAAAGGAGCCGCACTTAGTGTCATGCCTACCCCTTGAACAACAGCACTTGATCCACATGATGATTTGGAGGTTAAAGGTAAGATGCCTTCTCTAATTATGGACTGAGAACCTCCTGTGTCCCTAAGTACCTGTACTGGCAGCTGGTCTTTAGGATCCCCTGTTAAAGAAACAAAGCCCTTGGAAATAAAGGGTTTGAAACAGGGATCAGGTACATCATCTTCCTGGGACATTTCTATGTCTGATAGGGAAACTCCTTTAATGAGTCCCATTCCTTTTGGCGTCTGAAAGCGTTGTGAAACTTGTTGCTTACGCTTTAAGAAATGACACCCTGAAATAAGGTGTCCTGTTTTATGGCAGTAGCTACACTCACGGGGCCCCCGTGGAGGTGATGGTGGTCCTCTTGACCTTTCAAAAGTTGTTGGGCCAAGATCAGGTCTTCCGGTTTGTGATATTGAAGCTCTATCTGGGCGCAAGGGTGAAGAAAACACAGTCTTGTGAGTGAGCATAAATTCATCCGCTAAAACAGCTGCTTTAGCCAGTGAAGTGACCTTTTGTTCATTTAAGAATATCACCATTCTTTCAGGCAAAGAATTCTTAAAATCTTCCAAGAGAAGTAACTGACGAAGACTCTCAAAATGATCCTTCACTTCATTAGCCGCACACCATTTATCAAAGAGAATGCCCTTCTCTCGCGCAAACTCAACAAATGTCTGCGTAGCAGACTTTTTATGGTGTCTGAACTTTTGTCTGTAGGCCTCCGGCACAAGCTCATAAGCATGCAAGATCGACTCCTTAAGCACTTCGTACTGCAAGCTTTCTTCCAAAGAAAGTGAAGATACCACTTCCTGAGCCTTACCTACTAATTTGCACTGAAGTAGGATTGGCCACATGTCTTTAGGCCAGACTAGTGCGGTAGCAATTCTCTCAAAAGCACAAAAATATGAGTCAACCTCTGACTCTCTAAAAGTTGGCACTAAAGCAATATTTTTACTAACATCAAAACTTTTTGTATGAGAAGGTATTGACCTCTCAAATGTCTGCTCTGAAGAGATTCTCAGGGCATCAACTTCAAGCCGCTTTAACGTGATTTCTTTCTCAGCTTCTATCTCTAACTTGCGAATCTGCAGTTTGTAATCATAGTCTGCTCTACGCACCATTTCCTTCTCCTGGACCTCCAGCTGAAGACGGGCAAGACGAACTTTTAGTTTGGCATTACTACTTGCACCTAAACTACCCGGAGAGAAAGCCTCTAACCTAGGAAGCGTTGCAGGAGGAGCTTCAGGACTAAACTTGTCAACTCTAGGTGTAGCTAATACACCTTCCCTATCATCTTCAATAGACACTTCAGCCCTAGGCTGAGTTGACATGCTTGGGATTTCAAGAATCTTTAACTCCTCTAGTTTTTGCAGGATTTTCTCTCTTATCTCTTTTTTTACTTTATACTTGTCTACTGAAATGTTAAAGTGAGCTGCAATACATAACATGTCATCTTTGCGACAGGAATACAACGTATCAACACTTGGACTTTCAATAAAGTCCTGTAAGTCAAAACCCATTTTTCAGCACCTACACCTACAATGACTTCTCAATTATTGGTTGTTTTTAGCTCAGGAAAATAGATTTCCCGGTCGAGCCCCCACTTGTTACGTCCCCACTAAGGTCTAGGGGACCTGGAGACAATAACATACAACCAATAATTAATGAGGGAGTCAGCGTAACAGTTTACAAAAGGTTTATTTTCTTAACCCAGAACCGAACAGACATGTAACTGAAACCTTAGTTGGTGAGGAGGAGGAGGAGTCAAAGGATTGCGCCAAACAAAAGAAACAAGCATAACAAAACCAGGCCTATCTCTACATCTATCCTTTGAAACCAAAACTCAAACAAAAACCCTCACTAACTAAACTACAAAGACTTTGACAAAACAATATACAGGGGTGGCAACAATCCGCTAACCTAGTGTGTCTAAACATTAGTTAGCTACGTGGTGAGAAATGTACAGGGTACCCCGGACTTACCTAACTCCTCCACCTCTCAACACACTTTCAATAAGGTCAGACAATACAAAGAAATTTAGTGGCTAAATACTGCAGGCTCCTTCATCAGCAACAGGCCCAGAGTGAGAGAGCGAGAAGACTTCCTGGGTGCCTCCTTTATGGTCGGCCCTGGCTGCTGATAGGCCAGCTGAGGGTGAGAGGATCCAATCAGCCATCAGACTCAGGTGCACAGGCAGCTACCGATCAGCTGCTGATTAGCTGTGCAGAAGACAGGGAGAAGAGAGAAACACAGGAGGGAAGGAAAACCACACCAGTACAGCCTGCCTGGCACGTAACAGTGGACTTCCATGTTTGTTGATAACTGTGACGCGGCTCCTCCGTAGTGGCGAAGCAAAGATCAACGATCATCTCTGCTGAGTGATGAGTACTTTTTTTTACCGATGCAAAGAAGCTACAATCAATGCATCGCGAGTTCAACCCAAACTGTAGCCGATGTGCACTCTTTCACCCGGTGCACTCGCATTTTGAACGTTTACGCCGTTGCACCGATGCGAATCTGTGAATCTTAACATCCCTAGTGTGCACGTTTCCTGATCATTTGTTGGTATTTTTTAATAAAGTCAAGTAGAAATAAAGATTTTTTCATGCTATCTTTGGATCTCTCTGGATTTATTGTTTCCAGTTGCTGGGCAGCGAGGAGAATCTCAAAACTGAGAGAGGGTCATAATTCCCTTTTTAATATCTATTTTAAACTGCTGAGAGAACATCCATAGTTTTATCCACCAATTGCAAATAAAAGGACCAACTTATTGAAGCACAGGATTAAAAACACAGCTTTTAGAATCTCTTTATTAGTAAAGCATGAGATTGGAGAGGATTGAAACTCTACAACACTCAAAGCAAACAGCGTTTCCCAAACTAAACGGCGTGTCAGATCATTCTCATCTCCAGGATCCTCTTTCCTCGCATGTTCGCCGTCACAGTGAGAGGCAGCATGTGGAAAAAGCCTTTGTTGAATTCCTCCACGGTTTGGAAGCCCATCCCCTCAGAAAGGACTTCAAACTGCACCTGCAGGTGAGCGCTTGTTTTGGTGGTGCGGAGTAATGTGATTACTTCAATCGTCCTGATCTGCAGAGGAGCAGCACTCTGATCCTGGACAAACACACACATCACAATTATTCTTTATTATTTTTATTTTGTATTGTTTAGTTTAGTCCTGTTAGTCTGTCCAACTCTCTTACACGTTGGCTCCATGGCCTGTGTTGGTCATCAGAATCAGAATACCTGTATTCGTCCCACAGAGGGGAAATGTACATGTTACAGCAGAAAAGAGACAAAGGCAGCTTGATGTTACCTAGAAGCAAACAAAGTATTCAATTAAAAAAAAGTTATAATAAAAAGTTACACAATTTACAAAATACACATCCTGTAACAGTTCTGAGGATTTAGCAGCCAGGTATATATTACACAGTTATTAACGGCATATGTGCAATATATATATATATGTATGCTGCACATAGTTGGTTGGTATTTATAGTGGTTATACTTGTGGTTTAAATATTGTACGCCTTCAAGTGAAGCTCTTCTATGTATGGATTGTCAATTGATGAACAATGGTAGAGACTAAGCTGAACCCAGTAGCTTTGAACTGTTCAATCGAACCTATTGTTACGGCCGTCGTCTCTCCGGTCCTATTGATTCTGTATGTGATCTGTCTGTGTGTATGCAAATGAGTTGTGAGGTTCCCTGGATGTTATTGGCTGTTCCGCCCTCGCTTCCGAAGAGGTGATTGGGTCGGCGTCCTCCAATCCCTGCATACATCCGGCACACAACTTCCGGGGGAGGACTACAAAGGCTGTGGACTGTGAACATTCAGGAGGGTCTGCTGTGCGAACAGACACCTCACGCTCTTGATGATCGATCATTCTGTTACACGGTGGTGATTCCTGCGCCTGTGTTGGCCTTTGTTTGTGCCAGGCTGCATGCTTTATTATTTTGATACCGCTATTATATCTATAAATAAACGCTTATATTTATACCAATTCCATACTGGTGTATGTTAATCTCCTCTAGAGGGGGACGTAACACCTATCAATGTACCAAATGTATTTTCTATGTGTCTTCAATATTACAAATTTAAATAAAAGACACAAATCACAGTCGTACCAACAACCTCTCAGATAAGAAAGGACTTTATTTATCCCGAAGGAAATTGTTGTGCCAGAGTTACAAAGACACAATAAACACAGCAGCATACTATACCGGTCAGTAACTAAGTATTGTGTGTGTGTGTGTGTGTGTGTGTGTGTTTACCAGCTGCAGGTTTCTTCTTCTTGGTCGCTGCTCCTGAGTCAGTTTGTTAGCTCTTCGCCGCTAAACAAATAGATTTAAAAAAGTTCAACGCACCGAAAATGATAAATATAATAATAACACATGATAAATAGTGTGTGTGTGTGTGTGTGGGTGTGTATGTGTGTGTGTGTTTGTGTGTGTGTGTGTGTGTGTACCAGCTGCAGGTTTCTTCTTCTTAGGCGCTGCTCCTGAGTCAGATGCAGCTTTGGTCCCTGTGAAAGTAGAGGCTCTAAATATTCATATCACCTGAACATGATCCCTCTTTAGGAGATCCTCAGAGATGTTCAACAGCATTGATCCGATTGGTCTAAAATAAGGCCCTTAATTACGGTTTGAAGAGTTAAAGCTCACCTATTATGCTATATGTGAACAATATATTACAGGGCCATATCTATACAAAACATGTCTCTGAGATCACCCATTCCAGCCTCATCCCCCTCTATTTCAGCCTGTTACTAAAGTGCTGATTCTGGCCCTTTAAATGTAACCGAGCTGCTGCTGACCACGCCCCTTTGGATCTGCTGCTGGTCACGCCCCTTTGGATCTGCTGCTGGCCACGCCCCTTTGGAGCGTCTGCATGCAAGCATTATATTACATTTCTTTTAGCTGAGGCTTTTATCCAAAGCAACTTACAATAAGTGCATTCGACCAAGAAGATACAAACTAGAAGAAAACAGAATCGTATAAGTATAAGATCAGGTTTCATAGAGCCAACACATTTCAAGTGCTACTCAAATAGCTTTAGATGAGCCAGCCCTTAGTTAGTATATAAGTGCAGTTTTGTTTTTTTGCAAGCAGTGAGCTCTGTGAAGAGAAGGCTGTCTCCCAGCAGAAACTCAGCTAAATGCTGCCGTCATGAAACTCCACATCCTGTTCCAAACCACATCAAGGATTCTCTCTGAAACAGGATGGAGCTCAAACTCTCTTTCTCTCTCAGGTTTACCACAAGGTGACTTCCTTTTCATTTCCTGCTTCTTCACACAGACTCTCTCCAGTACAGGTTAGCTCTGAGTGTTAGCATTCTAATGTGAACACAGACCATATTACTTCCAGAACACGTCTCATTGTTTCTGACAGCAACGTTTCTGATTGGCCCGTGGGGGTAAAGCCCGCCCACATTTTAGTAATGTCGTCATGACGCAGCAAATCTGGATCAGCTCCATTGTTCCCCTCTATGAAACGTCTAAATACCCCAGAGCACCCCGAAAAGAAAATCTCTGGCGCCCCCAATGGTGGGCACGGAGGAAAAGAGAGAGGGTTTTATTTCCTGACACTTTGTGAGTCTCGTGACACACCGGGGACACACGGGGACACACCGGGGACACACCGGGACACACCGGGACACACCGGGACACACCGGGGACACATATTTATGTATAAGAGACATCGAAAAGTGCATTTTGCATGATTATCTTTAAATGGATCCAGTGGTTGTGTGTGTGTGTGTGTGTGTGTGTGTGTGTGTGTGTGTGTGTATGTGTGTGTGTGTGTGTGTGTGTGTGTGTGTGTGTACCAGCTGCAGGTTTCTTCTTCTTAGGCGCTGCTCCTGATCCATTCGTTTGTTTGCTCGTCGCCGCTAAACAAATAGATTTTAAAAAGTTCAACGCACCGAAAATGATAAATATAATAACACATGATAAATAGTGTGTGTGTGTGTGTGTGTGTGTGTGGGTGTATGTGTGTGTGTGTGTGTGTGTGTGTGTGTGTGTGTGTGTGTGTGTGTGTGTGTGTGTGTGTGTGTGTGTGTGTGTGTGTGTGTGTGGTGTGTGTGTGTGTGTGTGTGTGTGTGTGTGTGTGTGTGTGTGTGTGTGTGTGTGTGTGTACCAGCTGCAGGTTTCTTCTTCTTAGGCGCTGCTCCTGAGTCAGCTGCAGCTTTGGTCCCTGTGAAAGTAGAGGCTCTAAATATTCACATCACCTGAACATGATCCCTCTTTAGGAGATCCTCAGAGATGTTCAACAGCATTGATCCGATTGGTCTAAAATAAGGCCTTAATTATGGTTTGAAGAGTTAAAGCTCACCTATTATGCTATATGTGAACAATATATTACAGGGCCATATCTATACAAAACATGTCTCTGAGATCACCCATTCCAGCCTCATCCCCCTCTATTTCAGCCTGTTACTAAAGTGCTGATTCTGGCCCTTTAAATGTAACCGAGCTGCTGCTGACCACGCCCCTTTGGATCTGCTGCTGACCACGCCCCTTTGGATCTGCTGCTGGCCACGCCCATTTGGATCTGCTGCTGACCACGCCCCTTTGTATCTGCTGCTGGCCACGCCCCTTTGGAGCGTCTGCATGCAAGCATTATATTACATTTCTTTTAGCTGAGGCTTTTATCCAAAGCAACTTACAATAAGTGCATTCGACCAAGAAGATACAAACTAGAAGAAAACAGAATCGTATAAGTATAATATCAGGTTTCATAGAGCCAACACATTTCAAGTGCTACTCAACTAGCTTTAGATGAGCCAGCCCTTAGTTAGTATATAAGTGCAGTTTTGTTTTTTGCAAGCAGTGAGCTCTGTGAAGAGAAGGCTGTCTCCCAGCAGAAACTCAGCGAAATGCTGCCGTGATGAAACTCCACATCCTGTTCCAAACCACATCAAGGATTCTCTCTGAAACAGGATGGAGCTCAAACTCTTTCTCTCTCTCAGGTTTACCACAAGGTGACTTCCTTTTGATTTCCTGCTTCTTCACACACACTCTCCAGTACAGGTTAGCTCTGAGTGTTAGCGATGCTAATGTAAACACAGACCATATTACTTCCAGAACACGTCTCATTGTTTCTGACAGCAACCTTTCTGATTGGCCCGTGGGGGTAAAGCCCGCCCACATTTTAGTAATGTGGTCATGACGCAGCAAATCTGGATCAGCTCCGTTGTTCCCCGTTTTTAGAGATGTGGGTACGGAGGAGAAGAGAGAGGGTTATTTTCCTGACACTTTGAGAGTCTCGTGACACACCGGGGACACACCGGGGACACACCGGGGACACACCGGGGATACACCGGGACACACGGGGACACACCGGGGACACACCGAGGACACACCGGGGACACACGGGGACACACGGGGACACACCAGGGACACACCGGGGACACACCGGGGACACACCGGGGACACACCGGGACACACCGGGACACACCGGGGACACACCGAGGACACACCGGGGACACACGGGGACACACCGGGGACACACCGGGGACACACGGGGACACACCGGGGACACACCGGGGACACACCGGGACACACCGGGGACACACCGGGGACACACGGGGACACACCGGGGACACACCGGGACACACCGGGGACACATATTTATGTATAAGAGACATCGAAAAGTGCATTTTGCATGATTATCTTTAAATGGATCCAGTGTGTGTGTGTGTGTGTGTGTGTGTGTGTGTGTGTGTGTGAGTGTGTGTGTGAGTGTGTGAGTGTGTGTGTGTGTATGTGTGTGTGTGTGTGTGTGTGTGTGTGTTTACCAGCTGCAGGTTTCTTCTTGTTAGGCGCTGCTCCTGATCCATTCGTTTGTTTGCTCGTCGCCGCTAAACAAATAGATTTTAAAAAGTTCAACGCACCGAAAATGATAAATATAATAATAACACATGATAAATAGTGTGTGTGTGTGTGTGTGTGTGTGTGTGTGTGTGTGTGTGTGTGTGTGTGTGTGTGTGTGTGTGTGTGTGTGTGTGTACCAGCTGCAGCTTTGGTCCCTGTGAAAGTAGAGGCTCTAAATATTCATATCACCTGAACATGATCCCTCTTTAGGAGATCCTCAGAGATGTTCAACAGCATTGATCCGATTGGTCTAAAATAAGGCCTTAATTACGGTTTGAAGAGTTAAAGCTCACCTATTATGCTATATGTGAACAATATATTACAGGGCCATATCTATACAAAACATGTCTCTGAGATCACCCATTCCAGCCTCATCCCCCTCTATTTCAGCCTGTTACTAAAGTGCTGATTCTGGCCCTTTAAATGTAACCGAGCTGCTGCTGACCACGCCCCTTTGGATCTGCTGCTGGTCACGCCCCTTTGGATCTGCTGCTGGCCACGCCCCTTTGGAGCTGCTGCTGGCCACGCCCCTTTGGATCTGCTTCTGACCACGCCCCTTTGGAGCTGCTGCTGGCCACGCCCCTTTGGAGCGTCTGCATGCAAGCATTATATTACATTTCTTTTAGCTGAGGCTTTTATCCAAAGCAACTTACAATAAGTGCATTCGACCAAGAAGATACAAACTAGAAGAAAACTGAATCGTATAAGTATAAGATCAGGTTTCATAGAGCCAACACATTTCAAGTGCTACTCAACTAGCTTTAGATGAGCCAGCCCTTAGTTAGTATATAAGTGCAGTTTTGTTTTTTGCAAGCAGTGAGCTCTGTGAAGAGAAGGCTGTCTCCCAGCAGAAACTCAGCGAAATGCTGCCGTGATGAAACTCCACATCCTGTTCCAAACCACATCAAGGATTCTCTCTGAAACAGGATGGAGCTCAAACTCTTTCTCTCTCTCAGGTTTACCACAAGGTGACTTCCTTTTCATTTCCTGCTTCTTCACACAGACTCTCTCCAGTACAGGTTAGCTCTGAGTGTTAGCATGCTAATGTGAACACAGACCATATTACTTCCAGAACACGTCTCATTGTTTCTGACAGCAACCTTTCTGATTGGCCCGTGGGGGTAAAGCCCGCCCACATTTTAGTAATGTGGTCATGACGCAGCAAATCTGGATCAGCTCCGTTGTTCCCCGTTTTTAGAGATGTGGGTACGGAGGAGACACTTCGGACACTTTGAGAGTCTCGTGACACACCGGGGACACACCGGGGACACACCGGGGACACACGGGGACACATATGTATGTATAAGAGACATCGAAAAGTGCATTTTGCATGATTATCTTTAAATGGATCCAGTGTGTGTGTGTGTGTGTGTGTGTGTGTGTGTGTGTGTGTGTGTGTGTGTGTGTGTGTGTTTACCAGCTGCAGGTTTCTTCTTCTCAGTCACTGCTCCTGATCCATTCGTTTGTTTGCTCGTCGCCGCTAAACAAATAGATTTAAAAAAGTTCAACGCACCGAAAATGATAAATATGATAATAACACATGATAAATTGTGTGTGTGTGTGTGTGTGTGTGTGTGTGTGTGTGTGTGTGTACCAGCTGCAGGTTTCTTCTTCATAGTCGCTGCTCCTGGGTCACTTTGTTTGCTTGTTGTCGCTAAACAAATACATTTAAGTTTAAAGCACTGAAAATGATCAAAATGATAATAAATATATGATAAATAATATGTATACTGTGTGTGTGCGTGTAAATGTGTGTGTATGTGTGTTTGTGTTTACCAGGGTAGGAATTTCAAGACGGCCATGGTAGCCCCTCGGTCTGGCCGTGATGCCCCTAAAATAATTGTACGTTCTACGGCCACCGTGGCCTCTGGGCCCCTCACACTGTTAAAATCTCGAAGTTGCTTTAAAAGCGTCAGAACAGTGGTCTCTGAACTGCATTATGCTCACACCGGCCGCGATGCGAATATTCTCATTGCTCTCACAAACAGTCTGTGTTTTGTTCATGTTTAACTTTTGTCCAGTTTCTGAAGAGATATGAGGAGCTGTGATCTCTGTGTGCTAACAGCTAACAGCTAACGGCTGATGTTTTCTGATTCAACGTCAGTGGCTGAGATCCTCACTGCTGATTAGCTACCGCGAGAACGCGTCACGCAAATTTGATGCTCGAGTTGAACATTTGTATTAAAGAGGCTCTCGTACACACACACACACACACACACACACACACACACACACACACACACACACACACACACACACACACACACACACACACACACAGACTTTTGCATTTCAAAGTATCGAGTGCGCTAGAACTTGAAAGTACACAACCGAAACAAATCTGCCCCTTCCTTCAGACTTCCTCTCTTGCGGCTTTCACACCAGCGCTTTTCCCTTTCTAGCTCCGAGCGGGAGTTTTTCTGGTTCAGCTCCGGTTTCCCTTTTCTGGTCCCGCTCTGTTCACACCGCCCAGCACCCGACTGGTGCTGCCACTGCTGCGTCATGACGTCACCGTTTACATCGCTGATTTGCTCCCCAACGGCGTTATGGCGCTCACAACAACAACAACAACAACAACAACAACAACAACAACAACAACAACAACAACAACGGGGAACTGCGTCGGGTCGATGATCGTGTTGCTTTTAATCACACGAAGCCAGATTAAATTGAATAACGACTTCTCCAACCTTATGCTTTTCTCCAGAGTGCCGTGGTTCATTGTTTATTAATGTGTTTCTGCAGCATTTACCGACCGCTGCAGTGTTGGCTGCTCTTCCACGGGAGTTTATTCTCCCGTTAGCTCCCGGTTAGCTCACACTGCTGCGGCCGCTCTAAAGTATTCACTGTCCGACTCACACAAGCAGCTGATACTAGGGGCGTAACGGTATCCGTATTCGTCCCGTACCGTCACGGTTCGGACGTCACGGTTCGACACACGCAGTCACACGACGAATACACCTTTTTTTTACGAGTGGGAAAAAAGTCTGTCCTTCAGGGCAGTATCCACTACACTATATATAATCCAGGGGGCGGTATTGCGCCTAAAAGCTGTTTACCAGCCGCCCTTAAACAACACATGAAGAACAAGAAGAAACACAACAACAAAACGAACAAAATACAAGAAGAAGAAAAGTTAGTTTGGAGATTTCAGATAACACACAGGAGCTAGAACCACCTGCTTCTTTTAAATCTGCTGTGTGGGAACATTTCGGGTTCCCTGTGGACTACAATAACGATGAAGTGTGCGAGTGGTGGATCGGACGAGGACGGTGTGTCGGCGTGTTCGATAGCAGCAGGGCCGCCCCTTGCCAACTTGGGGCCCCAAGCGACATTGTGAGATGAGGCCCCCCCCCCCCCAACCGACAGGAGTGAAAAAATGTTTGCAAATATAATTCCTGTTTATTATTATTATCAACAGTTACTTTTTATACAGTGAGGTAAATGGTAAATGTGCATGTATGTCGTTCAGTATGCGGATACGTCTGCATTTCCTGCCAAATACTAGCAAATAAACTACTTCTACTAATAATGATAATCATAATCAATTCAATAATAAAAATACTATATTGTTTTATTATAATATAGTCAAGACAAAACATGCTTATGACATGCTCAAAAACTGATATTTCTTAAATCTGTATTCAAACGTAGTTCCCTCTGTCAGCAATATATCAACAACTACACACACATTTATATCAGTATTTCTCTGTGTTGTGGTTGACATGATGATGACTGCAGGAGTTAAGGGGAGAGGCTGAGCATCACCATGATGATGACTGTTAGGAGTTAAGGGGAGAGGCTGAGCGTCACCATGATGATGACTGTTAGGAGTTAAGGGGAGAGGCTGAGCATCACCATGATGATGACTGTTAGGAGTTAAGGGGAGAGGCTGAGCATCACCATGATGATGACTGTTAGGAGTTAAGGGGAGAGGCTGAGCGTCACCATGACGATGACTGTTAGGAGTTAAGGGGAGAGGCTGAGCATCACCATGATGATGACTGTTAGGAGTTAAGGGGAGAGGCTGAGCGTCACCATGATGATGACTGTTAGGAGTTAAGGGGAGAGGCTTGAGCGTCACCATGATGATGACTGTAGGAGTTAAGGGGAGAGGCTGAGCGTCACCATGATGATGACTGTTAGGAGTTAAGGGGAGAGGCTGAGCGTCACCATGACGATGACCTGTAGGAGTTAAGGGGAGAGGCTGATCGTCACCATGATGATGACTGTTAGGAGTTAAGGGGAGAGGCTGAGCGTCACCATGACGATGACTGTTAGGAGTTAAGGGGAGAGGCTGAGCGTCACCATGATGACTGTTAGGAGTTAAGGGGAGAGATTGAGCGTCACCATGATGATGACTGTTAGGAGTTAAGGGGAGAGGCTGAGCATCACCATGATGATGACTGTTAGGAGTTAAGGGGAGAGGCTGAGCATCACCATGATGATGACTGTTAGGAGTTAAGGGGAGAGGCTGAGCATCACCATGATGATGACTGTTAGGAGTTAAGGGGAAGGCTGAGCGTCACCATGATGATGACTGTTAGGAGTTAAGGGGAGAGGCTGAGCGTCACCATGATGACTGTTAGGAGTTAAGGGGAGAGGCTGAGCATCACCATGATGACTGTTAGGAGTTAAGGGGAGAGGCTGAGCGTCACCATGATGATGACTGTTAGGAGTTAAGGGGAGAGGCTGAGCGTCACCATGATGATGACTGTTAGGAGTTAAGGGGAGAGGCTGAGCGTCACCATGATGATGACTGTTAGGAGTTAAGGGGAAAGGCTGAGCGTCACCATGATGATGACTGCTAGGAGTTAAGGGGAGAGGCTGAGCGTCACCATGATGATGACTGTTAGGAGTTAAGGGGAGAGGCTGAGCGTCACCATGATGATGACTGTTAGGAGTTAAGGGGAGAGGCTGAGCGTCACCATGATGATGACTGTTAGGAGGTAAGGGGAGAGGCTGAGCGTCACCATGATGATGACTGTTAGGAGTTAAGGGGAGAGGCTGAGCGTCACCATGATGATGACTGTTAGGAGTTAAGGGGAGAGGCTGAGCATCACCATGATGACTGTTAGGAGTTAAGGGGAGAGGCTGAGCATCACCATGATGATGACTGTTAGGAGTTAAGGGGAGAGGCTGAGCGTCACCATGATGACTGTTAGGAGTTAAGGGGAGAGGCTGAGCATCACCATGATGATGACTGTTAGGAGTTAAGGGGAGAGGCTGAGCGTCACCATGATGATGACTGTTAGGAGTTAAGGGGAGAGGCTGAGCGTCACCATGATGACTGTTAGGAGTTAAGGGGAGAGGCTGAGCGTCACCATGATGATGACTGTTAGGAGTTAAGGGGAGAGGCTGAGCGTCACCATGATGATGACTGTTAGGAGTTAAGGGGAGAGGCTGAGCATCACCATGATGATGACTGCAGGAGTTAAGGGGAGAGGCTGAGCATCACCATGATGATGACTGTTAGGAGTTAAGGGGAGAGGCTGAGCGTCACCATGATGACTGTTAGGAGTTAAGGGGAGAGGCTGAGCGTCACCATGATGAGGACTGTTAGGAGTTAAGGGGAGAGGCTGAGCGTCACCATGATGATGACTGTTAGGAGTTAAGGGGAGAGGCTGAGCGTCACCATGATGATGACTGTTAGGAGTTAAGGGGAGAGGCTGAGCGTCACCATGATGATGACTGTCAGGAGTTAAGGGGAGAGGCTGAGCATCACCATGATGATGACTATTAGGAGTTAAGGGGAGAGGCTGAGCGTCACCATGATGATGACTGTTAGGAGTTAAGGGGAGAGGCTGAGCATCACCATGATGATGACTGTTAGGAGTTAAGGGGAGAGGCTGAGCGTCACCATGATGACTGTTAGGAGTTAAGGGGAGAGGCTGAGCGTCACCATGATGATGACTGTTAGGAGTTAAGGGGAGAGGCTGAGCGTCACCATGATGATGACTGTTAGGAGTTAAGGGGAGAGGCTGAGCATCACCATGACGATGACTGTTAGGAGTTAAGGGGAGAGGCTGAGCGTCACCATGATGATGACTGTTAGGAGTTAAGGGGAGAGGCTGAGCGTCACCATGATGATGACTGTTAGGAGTTAAGGGGAGAGGCTGAGCGTCACCATGATGATGACTGTTAGGAGTTAAGGGGAGAGGCTGAGCGTCACCATGATGATGACTGTTAGGAGTTAAGGGGAGAGGCTGAGCGTCACCATGACGATGACTGTTAGGAGTTAAGGGGAGAGGCTGAGCGTCTCCATGATGATGACTGTTAGGAGTTAAGGGGAGAGGCTGAGCGTCACCATGATGATGACTGTTAGGAGTTAAGGGGAGAGGCTGAGCGTCTCCATGATGATGACTGTTAGGAGTTAAGGGGAGAGGCTGAGCGTCTCCATGACGATGACTGTTAGGAGTTAAGGGGAGAGGCTGAGCGTCACCATGACGATGACTGTTAGGAGTTAAGGGGAGAGGCTGAGCGTCACCATGATGATGACTGTTAGGAGTTAAGGGGAGAGGCTGAGCGTCACCATGACGATGACTGTTAGGAGTTAAGGGGAGAGGCTGAGCATCACCATGACGATGACTGTTAGGAGTTAAGGGGAGAGGCTGAGCGTCACCATGACGATGACTGTTAGGAGTTAAGGGGAGA